TAATGAGAATCCTGTGATTTTCTTTTGAAGAGCATCTATCATTGTCAAAGAGGATGGGGTTGGAAAAGGAACTAAGTGAGCTCACCAGCCAACTCTGAACTTGATTGAACTTGTATTCTTTGTTGTAACTTATGCTAATACCCATTAAATCTGTAAAGCAAGACTAAAGTACTGTTTATACTAAAATATATATAAATGTTTTTAGATACCGTGTTGTAAATGACTATAGTACTATGTAATTATTCTAGATAGCCTTCTAGTCAGATTACCTTGAAAATCCAAATGATCTTGATGAATAGTGATACATTATGATTTCATGATTCAATCTATATACCTCCTACATAGATGTATAATACTTGTATCTAACAGGATTACCAAATTACATACCTTTCTGGTTTCAGTAAAAAAAGAAAATAAGTTGCTGTCTAGTAGATTCCGACTCATAGCAACCCTGTAGGACAGATTAGAACTGCCCCATAGGGTTTCCAAGGCTGTAAATCTTTATGGAAGCAGACTGCCTGCCACATCTTTTTCCTGTGGATCAGCTAGTGGGTTCCAACCACCAGCCTCTCGGTTGGCAGCCGAACGCTTTAACCACTGTGCCACCAGGGCTGCTTGTTATCAGTAACGTGCCTAAAATACTAGAGTATTCACTGACCAGTTATGATTACAAAAACCGCATTGGCATTGCCAGGGGAGAATTTGTTCGCGCACAGATATCGTCCTCAGATTTCTTGTACTGTTTTGAGAGAGGCAAGATGTCCTCTTTATTGCATTTGAAGCCTTTCTTTATTTAGACAGTTTTTAAAAAATGTCCTCTATCTAGATAATGCACTGTGTGATTCTCCTTTAACTGTGCTGGGGTAGTTTAACAAATATGATTGTTTCCTGCCTTAGCAGACAGCCAGCAAATTAAACTAGTGAGCTCAGGGTGGCTGCATGGTTGTTTGGCCTGCTCAGAGGTGGGGGTCGGGTGTGTGGAGTGGGGCAAGAAGAAAGCCTCTGTCCTGTTTTAGCTGTCTGGGGTGTGGTGAGGTGGAGGTGAAAGGCTCTCCTTTATTAAAGTATTTCTCAAGAGGAAATTGAAACATCCCTCAATGGAATGTTTCTGGGTAGGTTCATCGACAGCTTTAAGCCATCTTTTCTTTTTTTCCTATGATTTTTTTTTTAATTTTGTTATTGTTGAGAATATATACAGCAAAACATACAGCAATTCAACAGTTTCTACACATACAATTTAGTGACATTGATCATATTCTTCGGGTTGTGCAACCATTCTCATCCTCCTTTTCTGAGTTGTTCCTCCCCCAGTGACATAAATTCACTGCTCCCTAAGGTTCCTATCTAATCTTTTGAGTTGCTATTGTGAATTCATCCCTTACAGATAATTCTTAAAAGAGCACAATGCTCAAGGCAGACCTTTTTTTACTAGTTAAGCTAAAGTGGTTTTGTTTTAAGAAGATTTCCGGGTATATTTTTGATTTAAGGTTTAAAGATTAATTCAGGGCAATAATTTCAGGGATTCATCTACCCTCCATGGCTCCAGGAAGTCTGGAGTCCATAAGAATTTGAAATTCTGTTTTGCATTTTTCCCCTTTTGATCAGAGTTCTACTATAGAATCTTTGATCAAAACATTCAGTAATGGTAGCCGGGCACCATCCAGTTCTTTTGGTCTCATAGCAAAGGAGTCAGTTGTTCATGGAAGCAATTAGCCACACATTCCATATCCTCTTCCTATTCCTGACTCTCCTTCCTCAGGTGAATAGAGACCTGTTGATGTGTTTCGGATGGCTACTTTCAGGCATTTAAGACTCCAGGCACTATGCAGTGAATGAGGAGGTAGAACAAAAGCACCAAACACATTTATTAGGCCAATTAACTAGGATGTCCCATGAAACCATGACCCTAAACCTCCAAAGGAACTAGATCTCATGAGGGGTTTGGTTGTACATAAGCAGCCTCAGCATCTATTTTTGTGTGTCATCATTGTAAATATCACACAACTGATGGACAATAATTACAATAATCAGCTGTGCAACCCTACCCTTAATCAATGTGATTTTTCCATCTCTGTTAACCCTCCTTAAGCCATCTTTAAAGACTTCAAGGTCTGTGTTTTCAATCTTGACCTGTCTCCCGAGTTTCATACTAGTCCTTTTGGCTTCTTGCTGGACACCATCATTTGAAGATCCCACTGGAATCTCAGCTTTAACAGGGTCAGAATTGCTCTCATGCTTGCACAAGTCCCTTTCAGCTTTTTTTTTTTTATTCTTTATCTTTGGTGGTGGTATCATCATTCTACCAGTTAACCACATTAGAAGTCTTGGAGGCATCCTGGCCTCTTTTTTTGCCCTCAGCCTTCCACATCTGGTCATAACCAAGTTTTGTCATTCCCGCCTTTACTGTACTTCTCCAGTCTTTCCTCTTTATTCATTCCTGGTGCTTTCAATCTGGCTTAGGCCCCTGCTACCCCAAATCTAGTCTTTCCTCTTCTAAATTCCTCTTCCACACCCATCCTTTACCTAAAACAAAGATCTGAACCCAGCAGTTATTAATGTAAAAACCTTCAGTGACTTCTCACTGCCTACAAATAAGTCTAGATAGATTCTTGAGTTTGTTGTTTAAGGTCCTGCAGAGGTGGCTGACATTCTGGCTCAAGCCAATCTGTTACTCCTTATGTCCTACTAGATACAGGCTTACCAACTCCTGCATTCTTCCCTGCACACAGCACACCCCATTTGTTTTTTCCTCTATACTTTGTTCTGCTCTTTCCTCAATGCAAAAGGTCCTCTCTCTCCCCTTCCCTCCTCTTTCCATCTTCTCACACCAGTTGGAATTCTGCTCAGGTCAAATGGAAACCAGGATACCTGGTTTTCATGGTAAAATGCCACAAACCAACTGTGTCACCTCAGTTGAAATTGACTCGACAGCAATGGGTTTTTTAAATAAGTCACTGTACTTTTCCAGCCTTAGATTCCTCCAGAGTAAATCAAGAAGGGTGTAGTAGATAATCTCTATATCTTTTCAACTTTAAAATTTGTTTTTTAAATGCCACGCATCCACGTAGCATCTTTTCAACTTTCAAATTTGTTCTTTGAATGCCATGCATCCACGTAGCCCTCTACCATTCTTTAAACAGAATAAATTACTCCTTCTTTTTGTTTGGTTCCTTAGTATTTTATTTCTTCTTTTATGTTTGACATTTAACTCTTGCGTTCTGGTAGTTATATATGCAATGACTATCTCCCCCGCCTCCTCCCCACTTCCAGATAGTAAGCTCCTTGAGGCCAGCCAAGAATGTTTGACTCATGTTTGCATCCCTTCATAGCCCCACCTACCCTTGGTCTTACCTACATGTAGATTCTCAGTGAGAGAGATGCTGTGGTAGAGGGTAAAATGTCCTGGGCAGCTCTTCTCCTGTAACACATGCTGTTCCTGAGCATTCCCATGCATGGGAAGGAAGGGTTTGGGGTGGTGAATAATACAGAGATACTGTACTGAACACACCGTGTGATTTTTCCTTTCTTTTTGGCATTATTGTAATCAGGAGACATCCTGGACAACAGCTAAGTTAACATTATAACACTCATTTTGTATACAAATGTGTTCTCTCTTTAAGATGTTTAGAAGTAGTGAACTGTTCTATAAAACATACGGAAACATGTTTTGAAAACATTCCTGGTTCTTCCTCTCTCCACATCCTCCAGAGACTTGGATTTTCTCACGGTATCATTTAGATATTTGGACATTTAATATACAAAGTAGTGGCAAGGAATATTTTTAGGAAAGCATTTATGGACCTGTTTACTCCTTGGAAATCAAAGCACCTTTGGCCTGTCATGCTCTTCCTGAAGCGTAAATTTGATTATGTTGTTACCTTCCTTAGAGACTTCCAGTCATTCCTTGCTTCCGAGAGAAGAATGACCAGGCTTTTACCTTCAGGACCATCTCTGCTCCTATATTTCTATCTCATTCCACACTGCTCTCTTTTCTGCACTCTGCTGTGCAGACAAAATCAGTTCCTCACTATTTTCCTTATGTACTTCTTAGCTTTCTCGCATCTGCCTTTCTGCAGGTGTTTCTCCTGCCCAAATGCCTTCCCTTCTATGTCCATTACTGCATACCTGGATTTTATTCATTTTCAAGACCGGTTCAAATTCCATCGCTGCCGCAAAGATTTCTTTGATTTCCTACCAGAATTCTGCTATAATTGTATTGGTCCTTGTCTTATGATTTGTCTTTCCCGTATGCTGCTATTTCTAAACTAGTATTATCTGCCTTACCAGACTGTAAGTTCCTTGGGGGTCATGTTTCATGGCGTTTTATCTGTATTTTTCCCCTCTCCCTCTGTAATAACCCTGGTTCAGTTTACATGTGGTCAATAGATATTAGTAATGAATGAATATCTGTGAACTGTTTTTACATGGTATATAAAGGTATTGATGAATGACAAAGCTGCTCTATTTTGCTGTTACACAGTCATATCTTTATCTAAAGCATCTAAGCTTTAATTCTAGAATTCAACAACATGCCTGAAGAAAGATTGAGGTCTGAAGCATAAATGATATGTTGGACAGAACAGTTACATTTAAAGTGATAATGCATTCAGCGTGTCACCTTATCCTAAAATCTGCCATGTCTTTTAGATTCTGTACATTGTTATTTTAGTCCACTGTATGTAAATAAGGAGCCCTGGTGGTGCAGTGGTTAAGAGCTTGGCTGCTAACCAGAAGGTTGACAGTTCAAATCTACCAGCTGCTCCTTGGATACCCTGTGGGGCAGTTCTAATCTGTCCTATAGCATCCCTGTGAGTCTGAGTCGACTCAACAGCAATGGGTATATGTAAAAGGAAATTCTAAGTCTTTGTAAGTGTTTTCAAATTTAAATTTTATTTTTTGACAGTGACGTTTTATGTCTTTTCTTTTTAGTGTGTATTTTGATATGCCTTTATTTTCCACAAATTACTAACTTTATGCATTGTCCTTGTTCTATGTTGCAGATTAATATCCTTTCAAGAATTTGTAGCCTTTGAATCTGTCCTGTGTACCCCTGATGCTTTGTTCATGGTGGCCTTTCAGCTATTTGACAAAGCTGGCAAAGGAGAAGTCACTTTTGGTAAGGGACGTGAGTGTGTGTGCGCACCTATGTAAGCGTGGACTTCTATGAACTTTTTTTCCACCAAGAATGGAGTGTATGGAGATGCTTTTAAGAAGTAACCGTATCCCTCTTAACAAAGATGGCTGCATGTTTTGGTGTTTCAGTTTGAATGTCTTCCTATTTGAAAAAATAATTTCCTGGCTTAGTAGATTCAATATTCTGGTTTGATTTTTAGATGGGGGAGGGTGTGGCATGACTCTTCACAGTTATTTAATGTGAGAGCCGAACAGGACTTCAGTCCACTCCCTTTACAATCACTAGAGCCTTCCCCCTTGTAGAACAAAAAGTGAACACACTGCTGGAGAACAGTTACTTATGTACCTAATGCTGCTTGTCCTTACCCTGTCCTCGTGTTGAATGCAGAGGCACCACACAAGATGATGGTTCCAGGTGGCACAGGAAAAACCTTGTTTTTCTGAACATTATGCTCCCCCATAGCTGTGTTGACATTGCCTGCTATGCTGCTGCCTTTCTTTATTTGGAAAGGCAGAAATGTCTTCACGGGGATTAGCTGCAAAAAACCCTGAAGTCTTTTAAGCCCTAAGAAGAAAAGGAAGATCAGGAAGTGGTAGGGCAGTGGTAAATTATTATTTATTTATTTATTTTAATAAACTGGCCACTGAAGATAATTTTTGACAGGCATGACCATGTTTCCCTTGGGTTATATATGGTGTCCAGCATATGTGGTCTGTGATAACCACATGTGAGCCAGTGATAACATTGCCTATGAAGAAGTTTAGAGTCCTTTGGGCATATGGAACCCTGGTGGCGCAGTGGTTGAGAGATTGGCTGCTAATCAAAAAGGTTGGCAGTTTGAATCCACCAGCTGCTCCTTGGAAACCCTTTAGGGCAGTTCTGCCCTGTCCTATAGGGTCACAATGAGTCAGAATTGACTCGATGGCAACCGGTTTTGACATATGGATTGTGCTTTCGGGGTGTTGGTTAATGTGCCCATTTTAAATGTCTTCGTTCAGAGTTTTCAATGCATTTGACCTCCGGGCTTATCTTATTTGATGTATTGTGGGGAAATATACAGATGTGGGGAAAATACAGATGGTGTAATGGAGCATGGATTCTGGAATTGGATACACTTAGCCACTTCCAGCACTGCTCCTTTTTCTCTGAGCCAAGTTGATTATCCTTTAGATCCTCATTTTCCTTCTCATAAGTGTGATAACTACATAGAGTATACCCAAAACAAACCCATGGCTGTCTAGTCGATTCCAACTCATAGTGATCCTATAGGACCGAGTAGAATTGCCCCATAAGGTTTCCAAGGCTGTGATCTTTACGGAAGCAGACTACCACGTCTTTCTCCCATGGAGCAACTGGTGGCTTTGAACCGCTGACCTTTCGGTTAGCAGCCAAGCACTTAACCACTGTGCCACCAGGGCTTCTCACATACGGTATAGGTAAGATAATATAGGAGATATGTTCTACCAATCCTCAAACCCACCCCTCCATGCTCATTTGACATGGCAAGATTATTTAAAGGTAGATCAGCTAGGGCAGATGCAAAAAATGATGTATTTGCCTAGTTTGGTTTCATATCATCAAGAAGCTCAGATGCTTACCTTTAAAAAATGGCGAGGATCATTTAATATTTAAAACTCCTTGGGATAATTTTAGTTTTTTTTCCCTCTATCACCTCAATCCTTTTAGCTGCCACTGTAACTACAACTTTTCAATGGAACATCAATTTCTTACTTCATTTCCAGTTTATTACTTAAAAAAATGCCCCCATTAAAATCTTCAAGTAATACATGAGCAGCTAGCTTATGGTGGCAGTGATTTTGGAAGTAGAAGCCAGTTTGATGAAAATGTTATGATAGCTTTTTCCTGGGATGAAAAAGAGAGCCTATATGTTTGCGTGTAGTTCAGTGCCAGCCAGCTGGACTGGTATTTGGGTCAGCACAGGAGCGTTCTCTCTTGTCTCCCTGCCTTCCGCAGGAAATCTGGACAGGAGGAACAGGAGAGCTGAAGAATGAGCTTCAGAGGTTTTCCTTGATCCCGATCAGTCTTCCCTTCCTGGGTGTCAAGTGGCAACAATACCAGCTGGCATCAGCCACATGACACCACTGGCCCTAGTGGAGGAAATAAATAGGAAGATTTCCTGGTGCAGGGAGAGATGTGTGCTAGTGTGTTAAAAGAATAAGTGAAAAAGCAGGCTATGAGAGATAGGAGTCATCTGTGTGTTGTAGAAAGAAGAACAGTTGGATAAGAGTTCTGTTTGCTGTTCTTACTAGCTGCTTATTGGTTGGTGGTCAGGTAATTTCAGCTTTCTGAACCTTGTTTTCCTCGTCTTTAAAATTGAGATAATATATACCTTACAGGGCTGTGTGCGGATTAAAGATCTGTTGTCTGTAAAGGTGCTGTTTGGAAAACAAAGACCTTTATAAAAATATTACTAAAAGAAATGGCTTGAGATATCGAAGAAGGGTTTCCTTTTTGTGGGTGTATGTGAGTTTCCTTTGTTCTTTGGGAAGCCCTTTGTTTTTAACTTGCAGTTTTAACCACTGGCCTATTAGCCAATGATTTGCTGACCGTCAGTCTGCTCTATGTTGAGTACTATGCCAATCCCTGAGGAATTAAGAGACAGGAAGCTCCAGTTTCTTACTTCAGAGAGCTAATATTTGGGTTTGAAAACTTCAACACACACAAAAAGCAAAGGCAAAACAATTGTGTTACATCATCAGTTGCATATGACTGTTGTAGGAGAAAGTACAGTCCCTTCTTCCAGTACCCTGCCTTCCACAGGTAATTTGTTTCCAGGTTTGACTATCTCATTGTCTTAGTCATCTAGTGCTGCTACAACAGAAATACCACAAGTGGATGGCTTTAACAAAGAGAAGTTTATTTCTTCACAGTAAAGTAGGCTAAAAGTCCAAATTCAGGGCATCAGCTCCAGGGAAAGGCTTTCTCCCTCTGTCAGCCTTCTTATCAATGTTCCCCCGGACTAGGAGCTTCTTTGCCCAGGGACCCCAGTCCAAAGGACGCACTCTGTTCCTGGCACTGCTTTCTTGATGGTACGAGGTACCCCTGTCTCACTGCTCACTTCTCTCTTTTATATCTCAGGAGATTGCCTCAGGACACAATCCAATCTTGTAGACTGAGTCCTGCCTTACTAACACAACTGCCACCCATCTTCCCTCATTAACATCATTAGAGGCAAGATTTACAATATATAGGAAAATCACACAATACCAGAAATCATGGCCCAGCCAAAATGATACACATATTTTTTGGGGGACATAATTCAATCCATGACACTCATGAAACATGCAGAGAGAATGCTTGGTGTACGTTTATGATGAACTGATGGGGTCCTCACCCTGTGGGTGGTCATAAAATGCAGTGTGGGTTTTTCTAAGCCATCAGTGGCTATTTAGGATTAAACTGAAAGAGAAATGCATAGTATACAGAAGAACAGATACCCAAATGAACAAGTAAACAACATCACGGGGGTGTGGTAGCCTAAGAAGTGTACCTTTAGAAACAAGTACCTTTAGAAGAGCTAGCAATAAATCCGTTTTCTGGGAAACCTATAAAGAAGTTTAAGACATCAAATAAAAAATTGGAGTGGACAGAAAAGAGGACTTGACCTAGTCAATCTTGGTTTCATAAAACCATAGAATTGTTCTTGCTGGGTGCTGTTGAGTTGATTTCAACTCATAGTGACCCCATATGACAGAGTAGAACTGGGTTTCCTAGGCTGTGATCTTTATGGGAGCAGATTTCCAGGTCTTTCTTCCACGGAGCCACTGGGTAGGTTTGAACAGCCAACCTTTTGGTTAGCAGCCAAGTGCTTAACCATTGCTCTACCGGGTCTCTTTTACCCATAGTATTAAGAGAATGAAAATCCAGATCTATAACTGGGCTCTCTGTCCGTATGAGGCTGTTTGATATACATCCAATGGTATTCTCTTCTCTGGTTACTTCCTGAGTTCCACATAAACCCTTCACCTAAGAACGACCCTTTCGCATTTCAGAAGGTTATTTTTGTCCGTGTGCGTGTTTGGGGGGATAAACATGGAGAGGAGAGAGGAAGGCAGCTCCTTCTTTATCTTCCAGATTTTGGCTGATTCAGTTCTGGTGCTCATGAGGTGAGCAGCTTTTTCACACCATGAGAGGTTCATCTGGGTCCTTCCCGGGGCTGCAAGGGAAGGCTTGGCGAGTGACCTCTGGAGCCCCCGTGTCCTGCAGTCTTGCATTTCATCCAGAGTGGGAGCAGTTCCTTTTTTATCTGTTTACATATTGGATTTCCACATAGAGTTTGTTTGATGCAGCAGTTCTGTAACTAGCTCAGTGTGCTCCAGTGTTTGTCAACAAGCGTTCATACCCTGACTCACACTGATTCTGATACACGATAAACAGAAATCAGAGGGAACAAGGGGCAGAAAATCAAAGGTCACATTTCAATGGAACTATGCCCAGTTTTTTCTGAGACCTTGTTTATGTTTACCATATTTTCAGGTCTGCTTCTCTCCCTGTGTTTGCTACAATGAAGAGATCTTGATTAGGCCAATTTTGTTCCTTTGCTATCTAGTTCATTATATTCTCCTGTTTCCATTGAGGGAAAACTTATCTCTAATATTCTTGCTTTCACCATGCTTTCTGATGTTGATACCAGATATTTATGAGTACATTTTGAGATATAAACAGGTATAAAATGGGATATCCATGTAAGTTGTAAATTCTATTTAATTTTTGCAGTGATGTATGTGTGGAGAAAAATATTTTGTTCTAATTGTTTTCGTTTGAATTTTTAGCTTATTTTATATGATGGTAAGGAGCCTGATGGCACAGTGGTTAAAGCCATAGGCTGCTAACCAAAAGGTCGGCAGTTCAAACCTTCAAGCCACTCTGTGGGAGAAAGATGTGACAGCCTCCTTCTATAAAGATTACAGCCTTGGAAACCCAGTGGGGGCAGTAGTGCTCTGTCCTATAGGGTCACTATG